ATATATATATATATATATATATATATATATATATATATATATATATATATAGTTTAATAAGCTATATATATTATAATTTTATGTACTAAACTTGTATAGTTGTTATTTCACAGTTGCCATCACTACATTTTTCTCTGAGTGCATACGATGGTATGTGAAGGAGTACGTGAAGCGATCGACTTTGATGGCTTATCCTCGGCCTGTAAATTTTAATCTTTTCTCTGCGACGAATTATTGTATTATTTCGAATACTGAATATCTCGTTGAACTCTGAAAGAAGATACAGCAATATAACTTCTTTGAACAAAGAAAAATGTGGGATATACGAGAAAGAGATCTGAAAAAATATTCAAACAAATTTATAAAGTAATTTTTAATTTGAGAGATTGACGAATTTCAAAACTTTACCGTATGACTTTCTATGATATTTTTTATTCGATTTCGTCTATTTTTCGCAGATGCATCGTTATTTTACGTCATTGTAATATTTACTGGATTAACCCAGACGAGAAAGTTGCAATTTCCGCGACAGAGACACAAACACTCGTGCCTTTTAAAAAATGAGAATAATTAGTTGTTGGACGTTTACGGAGGACACGCCGCAATGATTCCTGCGCGCGATGGAGTTTAATCCAAAATCATCGCTACTTGGCAGGGATATTATTTTCGTTCTACGTTAAAGAAACCAAAGTAAATGGCTTGGTGAATATATGGCATCTTTTTGCGATTTTACTACTCGTTAAAGATTTACGTAAATTATGAAAAAAAGCTAAGTGTATAAATTTATTACTCTATAATAAGATACTTATATTAATACTATTGTAATTATTATTATCAAATTTACTTACAAATAAATATATAAGACAATATGACAATGATCAGGCTGTTTCATGCGTATTTTCCTTAAATAATCAATTGATAACGAGTTCACTAATGAACTATTAACTTTTGATAAAACGATCATGCAGATCATGCATAAATCCTTATCTTGAACTCTTTTTTATCGATAAGTGCCTCTAAATATAAATTGTAAGTCTTTTGATTGGCTTAAGACCGGTTTATATCGAAAAAGTAACAATGTTTAAATTAATAAGAAAAAAACTAATAACACAAATGTTTTTAGCAAAACTATGTTCTTCAGAAAACGATCTACTGAATGTTTCTAACAAAATATGTATTTTTACAAAATATGCTTTTAACAATGTGGGGAACAAATCGACAAAGTTAGGAAAATCATTTACTACAATTAATCTACTAATAGCAATGTTATATTACCAAAAATAATATTCTAAAATATTTTCAATAAAGTTAGAAAACTTTAAACAATTAATAACAATTACATTGTTATTAGCAAATATATGCTGCATACAAACTTAATAATCTTAACAACACGATTAGTCAAGAAAAAATCTTTTTTATTAATAATGCTGTTAATATATACTTAGTTCAATGTTTTGCCAATAATAGTTGCTTTCAATATTCTTTAATCTAAACTGCCAAATAATGGGTTATAGAAATAATGCTTTTGACAATGTTGATGATAAAATTATCAGCATGTTACCAAAAAAAGTAACTTTTTTCAATTATACTTGTTTTCTATAATTTGTTGAAAACAAACTTTATTAGCATTTTTTATTTCAAAATAACATAGTTAATAACAAAATGTGATTATTTTATCAACTTATACAACTTATACAACAATTTTTCTAACTTATTAGAAACAATTCCTTTCATTCATTGTAAATGGAACAATCTACATTTGTCAGCAACATTACTGAAAAGACACATTATTAGCAATGTTATTGCTGGTGTAAACCGGCCTTTATAAACATATTTAGATCTTTTATCGAGAAAAGAGAGTTTAGAATAAGAGTCCCGTATAGTCTTTCTTGAGATTTAAATCAGAACGAATCGATATGATACGATCTCGTTAATCGTCGAAAACCAAGCACTCGCGAATCGAGGTTGAATCGATACGAAACTCGCACATTTTTATATTCTATGTCGTCCTATTGGTAGCCCTGTGTCCCGATAAAATGTTGTAGCTTCAGTGGGGACCCAAGATGGCCGAAGGATGACAATATACAGCTGTCAGTTGGTGCGAACGACACACATTTTAAAGGGATTGGAGGGAAAATGTCGCATATTCAGTATGTGGATGAGTTGGTCAAGGAGTACTTGCTCTTCCGAGGTTTTAGTCAGACCTTGAAGGCTTTTGACAACGACTTGAAGGCGGAGAAGGAAAAAGGGTTTAGGGTGAGAGTAGTTCTGGAGAAACATAGTAAACGTAAAGAACGTACATAACATAGAAAAACAATAGAAATAAGGATATTGCTCGAATGAAATAAGGATATTGCTTGTTAGAATTTGGGATGACCGTACGACACGTTTGCCTGACTGTCAAAATGCTTTTCATACTTGTCAGTGTACAAAAAAAAAAAACTTGTATGGATACCTAACATCAATAACAACAATTATTAGCACAATAACTCAAAAGTATTCTGTCTAATCTAATAGGTAGACAAAATAGTGGATCAATTAATGCAATACATATACAATTATGATCTGACATCATTGAGAGAACTATGGGGACACTTGGATGCTAGAATGTTTTGTCGATTGGAAAGTCACTTCACATCTGCCATCAGAAAATTGGAGAATGCAGTGCTGAAGATGTACCTGGTAAATGCAGCTGTGAATAGCAAGCAAGACAGAATCCAGGAATTTTTTACCAAAATGGCACCAGAACTACAGGGTCACTCAGAATGGAAGGAGTGGTTCGGTATATTTTTCATTTATTTTGTGTATCTACAGTAACGTGAGAATATGTGCATCACATTCCAATTTTACTGTACTCTACAATATTGCAGCATTCCCCTTTGTCAAGAATCCTGAAGACAATCCAACTTATTCCGTGCATTTTAGTAAGCAGTGGCATGATACTATGTTAGTATCTTTACATAATTTCCTAGCAACAATTTTTCAAGTAGGTAAAAAGATACCTTCACTGTGTATATTTGAATTTAAAATTGATATCACAATAAGATATTAAATAATTACATCAATATATAAATCAATATCAGTATATAATATATAGTAAATATATAATATAGATATTGAACAGAACATTAATATCTTGTTTGTAAATTTTCTGTTGTAAAAAAAGCAAAGTATAAAAATATCAGTTCTGCTAGAGTATGTGATATAGAATACAATATTGATTGATGGGAATTTAATGTGATTACCCCTTAGTGCATGCCACAGCCTACGTTACTCACGATAGATGAGGATACAAACAAGTTGAAACGATTGCAAGAAGAGAATGAGCTACTGAGGCAACGACTGAGCGAGTCTGTTAAGATAGAGAGCGTATCGGATGTGAACCCAGGCCCAGCACCCCAGTATCCTCAAATCATGGACGACTTTTACATTATTGCTCAGTACGTATCCATCTCTCCCATGTCGTGTAAAAAAAAAATAGAAGAAAAAAGATGCTTACAATCTAACACCAATTTTGGCACTTAAATAACAGAGAATCGCCGCTGTTGGAGAATCCTAAGACACTGCGAAATCTCATAAGGAACATTGGCGGCGGATCCAGTCCAATTTTAAGTAGAAAATCTGCAACAAACATGAAGAAATTGGTGGAACCTGAAGTGAGCTCGACAAAACGTACGAACACAAAGGGACGAGTGAATTCGATTAGCAAGTCCGAGGCAGTCGCCAAGAGGAGTATCAGCTGTGATTCAAGATTAAGTAGTTCTAGGAAAAGAGACTCTTCTATGGATACTGCTGTCGAGAGGAAAACCAAGGAAAAGATCGATTCCAGTTATATTCTTCTAAGTCAGGTATAAGACCATTACCAATCTCAGAAAACGTTCTTATATTCATGATTATTTCAATTATTCGTGTGCACAACGTGCGAAACGTTTGCAGGAGGAGTACACCGAGCACAAAACCTCCATAATCCAATGCAAGAGCAACGCTAGTGGATCGTACGTTGCGACGGGCGATGCCGATGGTATCATCAAAGTATGGACACCGATTCCCTCACCAAAGTGAGTAACATCCATGTAATTCCTCCTGTAATTCCATGTAATTCCTCTTGACACACGACACCGCGCGACATTCATTCGTAATTCTCACCGCCGATACTTCCCTTAGGACCGTAACCACGTTCACTTCCGCTACGGCGAACTCCAACAAAGCTATCACTTCGTTAGACTGGATATCGAAGAACGAGCGCTATTTCCTACACGGCGATAACAACGGCTTGATACAGTTGCACGACACGCGAGACTGCAAGACGCTTTGGGACATTCAGCACGAGAACTCGCGCATCGTCACCCTGATCTGCAACCCGACGGAATCGACGTTCGTCTGCTCCGTGTCGAACGGCAGCGAGGGCAAGCTTCTGCTGTACGACATCAAAACGAGGAAGCTCGAGAGGACCTTATCGATGGAGCAGAACGTCACCGCTCTGTGTTCCGCTTTCAACCACAACGGCCAATTACTTATCACGGGGTTGTCCAACGGCAATATACTGATACACGATCTTCGGCAAAACGAGATAATCGACAATCTCAACTGCCATTCCAGCCCGATAATCGACATAGAGTTGATTAACGATTTCACCAACATATGCGCGCAAAGCGAGGACGGTAAGCTATGCCAAAGGAGCTTAAATCACTCGGGTAAGATCCTGTGGGAGACCAAGATCAAGATCGAGAAGAACCCTGTGCACGGGAAACTGTTCACTTTCGATCAGAGCGGCAGTTACATGTTACTCTGCACGCAGACCGGAGGCAATATATACAAGGTATGCATATTCACTTCATAACAATACATTAAGGTTCCCGGCTCTTCGTCGAGGCCATCTCGATTGACGACCTCAGAAGTGACAAAAAACGCGCTGAAAATTTATGCAAAATGCATAAAAAGAGAAAGATATATTCATAGTGATACTTGCAATCAAGCGGATCTGTAAAATAGTTCGAACACTATTTTTGTTCTAACAATCAATAAGTAACTATAAAATTAACGTGAACAAATCATGAGAAAAGATAGGCATACGTTAATTTTATGATAATTTATTGATTGTTAGAACAAAAGAAAAGTATTCGGGCTATTTTATAGTTGAGTCGCAAATGTCATTTTATAGACCCATCTTTTTATTTCAACATATGTTGCACAATTTTTTATCGTGTATTTCTTCGCCTCTGACATAATGAATCGAAAGTTCCGCGGCGAGGAGCATTAATTCTTGTATTGAAGTATAAATTCGCGCCCAAGTTTCACTCTTGTCTCTACTGATTGGCGTTCTCGTCTCGCCGCAGATGCCACCGGGTGCTCAAGGGAAAATTTTAGAGCTAGGCGGACACAAGGGTACCCTATGCTGCGACTGGTCAACTGCCAATCAATCTGGGACTTGCATAACCGGTGGTGCGGAAGGGAAGGCGCGAGTATCGACGCTACTCTCACCATGATATAGGAACAAAATTAGCATTTGTGTAAATTCGTAAGACAGCAAATAGTTGCTAAATTATATCGATGGAAAAATAATGTAGATATTATTTTATTTGCTGTATCAAAGTCTCAACAGTGTAAGTGATTGTAGTATAAGAATACGTCGAGTAAGATTTCGAAACGTTACACTATATATCGCCAAAGCGTTGGTAATTTTGTGTAAAAAGAAAAAAAGAAAAAAAAAAGGGAAATCAATATATTTTATGGGAAGAACAATGAATGCCAATGTATCTCAATAGTTACTAGTAGCAACTGTAATATAATTGTCTTTTATCTTTGAGAAGCAATCAGGGACTACCAAACGTAATATGTACAGAGAATAACCATTTATAAGGAGGGTGTGTTATAAAAGATCTCTGATATCATCTTGATCTACGTGACGATTTTATTCAGTTTTGTAATCTAACCGAAAGATCAGAGAGAAGACAAAAGAGGATATAGTTGCAATATGATCTTGACGTTACGGACGAAAGAAATGTACAAGAAGCGAGGAAAATGTCAATAAATACGAGTCAATTTTAAAATTTAGTGTTGCGTATTATTCTCTGATATTTCCGCAATTAGGTAATTATTATTGCATTTACGATGCAAACTGTTGCACTTATTTTGCGTGGACATTTTCCGTTGCTATTTTAGAACGTTTTAACAATCTCTTACCTCTCTTTCTCAGTTCTTTATGTCTAGCAGGGAAGGAGTTTTAAGTGAGGCCCTCGCATAGACCATTTATTAAACGGGCCTGTCATAGCTAGCTGTGGAGACCAGTATCTTCTAAGGGCTTCGGATATCTCCGAAGGAGTTAGTGGTTTCGTTACGACACCCTATCAGAGGAAAAATAAGGAACATGTTTCGTGTAACTTTATTCATAACTATTCATAACCTATTTTCTTTCTCTCTTTCTCATAATATTTATAATTTTCCCTTTAATTATTTTCATGATTATCTATGATACATACCTTGCATTGATAATAATGGCTGGCTATATATGGTTTGTACGTAAATGGATTAACGTAGCTCAATCGTTGCCGATCTATGGGATCACCATATATTTTGTTTTGATCTTGCCGGACGAGAAAGGCGAGATCGACGATTTGAGCGACCGTTTCATAGGCCAAATAACTCAAGATTGTATACGCTTGTTTCGACAGCGTAATATCTCCTGTAATTTACAAAATATATCCATGGTTAGAACTCTATACTAAAGTTGTGTTGTAAATTTCAAGATTACATCTACATGGATTGTTTTGATATTATTTACGTGATGTATGTCTGTTTTCATGTAAACAATGTAAAGTATATAGAATATCGTAATTATTTTAAGACACCAATTTTTTTGTTCTTTCATAAATTTACACATAAAAATTCTAAAAATTAAATAATATAAACTTCTTAACTAATTTTTGTTAAGTTATCAGTTCTTCTAACTATATCTATAGATTCATTGTTTATGTAAATTCATTATCTGATACCTCACAGTTTACATTATCCACATATAAACATAGATTATCTCAATTCATACATAATGCCCAACCCTGTTGTATACATAACAATATTAAAGCTCACACTAAACAGGATATTACCATCTGTACAGATCCAATCGCTGAATTTATGGCGATTTTTGTTCGCAAAAGATACACGACGTGCTTTGCTGTATTTTATATAGCGTATTTCATCCATGGACCTCGTCACTATCTCTGCACGGATGCATCTCTGGTGCTTGATGTCATCTGCAATGGATGATATATTTTCTAGAAGTTCACCCGTGTTGTCAATTTGTTCCAGGAAACTTTGAAATGGTACTTTTTTATTGCTATTGTTTAACTGATCAGTATCAGTAATATTTTCTGATATATCATTCTCCACTATCTTATTAACTGAGCCTCCCAATTCTTTGAGTTCTGAGAAAAGAATATTATTTTGAAAATAATAACAATAAGTAGGGCAATAATAGTTAGTTTTTTAACAACTGTAACAACAGTTGTATTCAGAGAAAGCTGCTTTGCAACTTTGTAAAATTTGTGAATCTGATTGGAATATGCTCTTAATTTTGGTTGAATCTAAGAGCAAGAGTACCAATCAAATTCACGAATTTTACAATTGCAAAGCAACTTTCTCTGCTGAATGCAGCCAATATTTGCAGTTTTTAATTAGTTTATATACATACCAAGATATTTGATAATACGACGAAGTTTAACTTTGTCTCTACGCAATAAAAAGAGTAAGTCCTCTCCACTAAGAACATTGCTTTTCTTTGAACTAGCACGTCTATCAGCAATTTCATAAGCTCTCCTGGTAATTGCTCTCATTTGTTGCAGTACAACTTCTTCTATGATCTTGGCAGAGTCGAACAGTGGCTCACTGCTGTCACCAAATCCATGCATCATTTGTCGGATTTCTGTAAAAAGTATGTATACTTGAATGAGTACTTTTTCTGTGCTAATTTTTAAATATACAATTGTTGACAATAAAAAAATTTACCAATAAATAAATATCAATAAATATTATCTGAAATTAATCGAATTTCAAATACAAAATTATAAAATATTATAAATGGGGATTTTTGTTTTTATATTGTTTCTGTTGTATATAACGAGATCAGCACATATAACCTTACATATAAAATTTCATAAATATACCGTGAATATAATTTACTGGTTCAGTAATTGTCGGTTTCGTGAATGTCGGCGCTTCTGCCATTTTCGCTTAAATATTATTCAAAGATAAAAAAGACCTTCTAGTTTGCTGATGAAGTGTATTATTTAAAAATAAAAAATATCTTCGCCTGTTACTTGTTTGACAATAGAAAAATCCTCTGACCCATCGTTGAGTAGTACTACTTACAAATAATAGTTTCTGGGTGCTTTCCAATTGCTTAAAGGTGCGATTTCACGCAGCGAATAAAAGCTGGCGTTTCGGGTGTATATCAGTTGGACACGGGGCAATTGGACACAGTCCAATCACAAGTCGCTGTTCCAAGGGACCCTACAAATGTCTCTAATCACACGGTGCTGTGATTGGCTGTGTCCAAATGCACCGTGTCCAAGTGCACCGCTCCCACTTAGTTGACATTACGTAGAAGAAATAATCCGACGACGGAATCTATAAACAGTAAGTAAATACTTAAATATATAATAAATATATAATGTAGATAAATATATAATAAATATATAATGTAGAATGACATAAAAGAAGTATTTAGAATGTTATCCAAACAGCACAAAATATCCGAAAGACATCCTGGGAAGGCTCTTGGACGTTTTTTCGGAGGGATTTGTTGTATAGGTATCCAACACAAAACAGTTTTTAAAAGAAATAGGATTGTTCAACAAAACATAAAATGCTATAAGTGCGAAAACATGACCATAAATTGATCTATGTTATTTAATCCAGCCATGTTGTCCGCTATCTTACACTGCTCTAACTTGCTCTTACCCGTTCTTTTCAGACCTATATGTATCTTTGCACTGATCTGCACTATCTTGAACTTTCTTCAACTAGTACAGTTCCAGTGCAGCCCTAGGTCAGGTCGAAAGAACAAATCTGATGTCAATTCATGGGGGAGCGTCCCGATTGACCACGGTACGATTGGACACAACCAACCGATGAAAAGAATTATTTAGTGAATTACTAGGTCGAACCAATCATTACAATCTGTGTCTAATCGTATCGTGGTCAATCGGGTCCCACCCAATTCATGGTATCGATAATCGCAATTGGTTCAGTTTTATGATGTCACATCCTTCGACTGCTAACAAAGGATTTTCTCTTCTATACTCCTTCCTGGTATTCTTTATTCAATGGCTGGCCCTAAAGGTATCTTTACATGGGAGCATCGAGCGTCGAGATTAAAGTGGTAGCCAATCAACGTGCCACTTTCCGCAAGAACTATAAATATACTTCTGGGACCTGATACGTTGATTGGCTAACGCTTTAACGCTCGACGCTGGAACGCTCCCATGTATTGGCACCTCAGATAGCGGCTAACGGTCCATGGTTATATAGTCAAAGGTAGGACCGCGTTCCGTGTCACGCATATGCGCGCATTTATCTATAGTTTATATTACGTATACTGTAGAAAATACGCGCATAATGCGTGACACGGAACACGGCCTTAAGTTTATCTGTAGGTGATCTATGGATGATTTCATTGGCTACAAAACATCTGAAGATAAACTTAAGATGGTCTTAAATATAAAATCCAACTATGAATACCGGTTTCAGAGAACGTTTTGGATCCCTCAATAATTTTTTCGAAAGAGTTCCGGTCTAACCGCCGTTATATCTAGGCGTATCCGAACAAGTTCGGACCTAATATTTTTTTGGAACTTGTACTTCGGTACCTTGGCAGAAAGGACTATTTGAGAAAGTTTGCAAACCAAGTAAAATATAAAAAAGAAGAAGAAGAACTTTTTCGAGAACTTTAAAATAATTTTCGAGTTTTCAAACCAGAGGTGGCCTGTTTACTAATTTATAGAAAACAAATGGTATACCCTTACAGAAATATCATACTAAGAATCATTGGCCGCGTTTAGTAGAACAAGTGATCAGTAAGCGCTCAGGGAGCTCTTGTATATGATTTGGCATATTCTTTTAGATCTCCAACTATACTCCAATCAGATGCAAGAGCTCACTGAGCGCTTACTGATCACTTGTTCTACTGAACGCGGCCATTGGTTGCATTCAGTAGACTCAACAGTTGCACAACAGTTGAGTAATTTGTCAATGTAATTGGTCTAGATTTAGGGATCTAATAGCAAGAACCAATAATCGTTGATTGCTCACTGAGCGCTTTTTCTACTGAATGCGCCCATTGATAATTATTTATTATCCAGTATTTTTAATACTGAAAATAAATAATTATCAATGATTCTTAGTATGATATTTCTATAAGGGTATGAAAAATAAATTATAGTTTTACAAATTTAATATGATAAAATTCACGTAAATGTAAAATTCAAATTTAAATAAAAGTAAATAAAATCACACACAGGTTTTTATCACTTACGTACATGTCTGCAATAATACGTACTTGAAAATATTGATAGCGTTATCAATTTGAATCGTTTTTTTAAGCTGTATCGTTCACGCTCGCAAGTTCAGATATGAATCTTATGTATTTTATCTGGTTATTTTGTATTTTATAGAAAACTAACGATAGAAATTCTATCACTATCTATTGTATACAATAGAATACTATTCACATTTTATAAATTCACGAACCAAAATTCATATTCAAAATGATAGAAAATGGTTATTTTTATTTTATCGTATTCTCTATAAATTTTTTTACACTTCATCAATTTTTTTACTAGGACAAACTTCAATAAAACTATCTAAAAATTGTTTAATAAAAAATATTTAATTGATATAATGTTTACTTTTTCCATGTAAACGTTATTATGCAATAATCACAAATTTGCGCGATAGGAAGAATAAACATATTATTTATATAACTCATTGTTCAGCTGCAACATCTTCTGGCACAATTTTGGCTACCTTCCGAAATTCTTTGCACATGGATTTTGGGCACTGCATTTGTGTCCAGCTGATTGGTATCATGACTATACCTATTAAATGATTATTGAAATAAAAAATTTGAAATTACTTAAAATATTATTGAGACAAAAAGAAATACATATGAGCTTTTACCTTCTTCACTATAAGCTATAACTACCCCTAACTCATTTTCTGCAGTACTTAATTGATAGGTATGGGCTTCTGTCATTGGCATCTAGCAAAAGGTATGTAGGAAGAAATAATTGTTGTATAATTTTGATATCTAGGTGATGAAGTCCTTATATATATTCTCAAGTCTCTTTTATCAATATAAATATCTCTAAAAGTAGCTTATAATCAATCAGAAGGCTCATAAGCTACTTTTAGAGTAATACTTTTATTAATAAAAGAAAGTTCAGGATAAGAAGACCATAGTCTCAGGTTTAGTCAAAGGATACAACTCTTGCCAGAATAATATCTCCAGGCTTGTAGGACTTGTACATCTCTATTTTATCCTTGTCGTTTGCTCTAACGTCCTCTTTTCTTAAAATCCCTCTGTAAGGCCTTGTTAATACTATGTCACCTACACACTTGATACTGCATTTGCAAAATCTCTGATTGACCACAGTCACCATTGCGGTAACAATATCTCCTGGTGCAGGAATGATACTTTGTTCTGTTATACCATGTACCTCAATTGTACGTGTCTGCAACAATACGTACATGAAGATATTTATTCTGTTGCAAGTAGAGAAATATGCATGACTTACTTTTTCATTTTCTATTAATTTTACAATGCCAGCAAGCTTGGAATAAATATAACCTTGCTGCTCGTACGTTCCTGGTCCAGCTATATTTATTTTGTCAGATACACATAATCGTTGGCCTTTAATACATGTAGAAAAATTAATATGAATATGTGTAAGATTGTATGTGTAATTAAAGAATATATTATTTACCAGGCACACAACAAATAATATGTTCTTCATTTTTCTCCATTATTTTATCTTGTTCTTTTCGTTATATATACTGGTAATATTATAACAAAGAGAGCTTGAATAGGTTAGATTAAGCTATATTGTATCACGTGTACATATATCTACACCATGTTTATATACGTAACTGAGCATAAAATAGTAAACATGCAGTATAACGTTTTTATCTTGGATTTTTTTTAAACTTTGTAAATTTGTATATTTTAGGGCGTAGAACTGATTTTTGAAAACGCAAATTATTGCTCATTTTTCGTTCTCTTGTATTTTTTAGTGTAATGTTTTATGATGTCGGTAAGTAGGAAAGTGACAACTTCCATTATAAAACTTTCGGTAAATATGCAGTGGCTGCTTTCCAATTGTTTAATACATCTTGACACACACGTACACAAACCAGTTTATTGGTCACATATTATCTAAAATACTTTATAAGATAATATGTAATCAATAAACTAGTTTTGTGTAACACAGTGTACACAGCTGGAAAACACCCA